CGTTTAAGTTATTTTGGCAGTTGTGGCTCAATATGTATGCACAAAACTTACATATTCGGTATAAATAAGTATAAGTAATCAACCAGTTAACATTTTCTTATTTATATTTAGAGTTTAAAAAAATTGGTCAACAAATAAGCACAGTGTAGTTATTACGAGTGCATTCAGGTAACGAAATTCTTTTTTAGTTTTATCAATAATATAACTTAAAGTATAAATATCTCTTTATGTTTGTATGTTTGCAGGTATGAGAGTATGAGTTTTGATTTGGTACGCAATTTGAACTATTCGTGTGAATTTGTAATGATCCTGTATCTAGAGTAAGATTTCTAAGGAAAAAAATATATCACGAAAAAAAAAATTTCAAATGATCAAGTATCTCATTAAATTATCTCCAAGAATAAACGAATTATCTTAGCGAAACTCGTGTCTCTCACTGTTTCTTCTCGCCGCGGGTTTATAACCCATTATCTCTTAAGTAACCAGAGAACTTGATAAGTAGCTTTTTAAAACTGTAAAGGAGTCAAATTTTCAAGAAAGGTTGCACCATCTTTACAGTTTTTCAGGGCACTATCAGGCATACTACCTGGAAGCTGTGGAAGGGCCAAAGGATTTTCACAATTTTAGTTCTTTTCCAGTTATCTTTAAGTACTTACGTTCCTAGTGCAAACTGGCTCCCTTGTTCATCTGCCGTTCGATAGTTTTATGAAAAGAGATCAAACTGTAGCTTACGACATAGCTCTTGAAAATTTATCTTCACCAGGGAACCAATACCATAATCTCTAAAACCTTCATAAATTTGTTTGCTACTTTCTATTTGGTATTATTGCCTGCCTTTAAACTGACCCAAGTCCCCTTCTCGTTGATTCTTAAACGAAATTTGCTGTGAAAGCATCAGTGTAAAGTCTCTAAGTATATGAATTGTCAAAACCTACGATCCCTGCAGCTCGCAGCTGTATCCACTGGTTGAGTAACAGCTCTCCTATTGTTTCGCGAAGAGCTTTATCGGAGTCAGATTAGTAGCTTAAGATCCTTTATAGAATTGAAGGCAGGGTAGCTTTTCTAAATCTTTATACAATACCTCACAGCATACTCTTTAGAATATGACGAATCTGATAGCGAATGTAGGCTTTCAGTATAAGAGTACTATATGATCCTTCAGGTTTCATATTTTCTAACAACTTCCTGATTAGATTGGACTGTATTGGATTGTATTCGATTGGTTTGGGTTGGATTGAATTGTCTTAGATTGGATGAATCAGGTTCGGGATCGATTTTTCAAGCACTCAGGCATAGTTGTCCATCGTACTTGAGGCCTAGAGAGGGGATAATAAAAAGTGGAAAAAAGTAGGGGTCACTGGGTTCCGGGATTCACAACTGCTCTGCAAATTTTCTGGATTATTTTATAAAACTTAATAGCTCGTAGAGGGAAATACAATGTAACCTGGCCATTCAAAATATGTCTAAGCCAAAAAATTGTGCTACCCAGGCCTAAACAACGGCGGAGAATCGTAGAGAAAATGCTCTATAAGAGTATTATCCTCACCCTTTGGCCAAGATGGTCTTTTATTCCCTGTTTTTACGTAATTAGCATCACCAAGGCTCACAGCTATCTCCTTCTCTGTTTAAGGAGGAATTTCGCCTCTAAAAGAGTTTACCTTTTCATTAAATACTTGAATATTTTGCACGGGTCAGTAATTGTCTTAGATATCCTAAGTTGAATATTCTATTTCCCTAGCTTCTTAAAACTCAAAACAAAAACATTATTTCAAATAGCCTTACGCATACCTTTATAATTTAGTAAATTATTATATATTTATATGTATCTTTCTTGTTCAAGGTACTCAAAGAAATATGCTGCGTTCTAAATCCTTTCATTTATATATTTTTTCTAATAATTAATTAAGGAAACAACCATTAAATAACAACAGTTTTTTTTCTCTATGTTTTGCTTGTGTTTTTCAATATCGGAAAATATTTACAAAAGTAAAAGCTTTTGAAAGAACTCAGGGTTGTATTTGCTAATTTGAAACCGCTTCGGGCATGATGCGATAAGCGCAGCATAATTTAAGGCGCTGGCCTGCATGCCATACATATTTTATGCTAAAAATTAACTAAGTAAAAATATATAGAAAAAATACAACTTTCTAATTAGGCTAAATAAATTTAAAACAAAACTGTACTTTGTACTACGGTAGTGATGTGAACGAAATATTTCTCCACGCTTTACTTTTGCAGAGCAGAGAACATATAATCAAAGGGCATAGCGTTGCGGCTACTACAGATTTAAAAGGATGAGCTTTCGCTTTTTCAAATGTTTAGAAAATAAATAATCTCAAAAATTCCTAACAATTTCCATTTTTTCTAGTATTCGCTACTCTAACGCATACAATATTTATCTCCAACTAATCAATATCACAAGTGTGGTAATGCCGTTTAACTACTTTATGTAATCTGTGTAATGCTAAGCTAAATTTTTTACTACCCAAGTAATCCTATTAAACTCTAACTTATCTAACAAAAAAAAATGCTCTGCGACATGGTTGCATTTTTAATGCACATGACTGTACTTTAGGGTGCTGGTGTGTTATTCCAGACGCAACTGTACATGTGCATGTATGTGTGGTGCTTTAAATTTACATATACAGCAAGTGACGTGCTGCCACCTTTTGGAAATATTTACAATGAAATTCACGGAAAAATTATTTTATTTCATTTCTGCTTTGTAGTTCGATTGTCGTTTGGTTGTTGTTGTTATTCTTTGTGTTGAACATTTTAGTGTTGTAGTTGTTCTTATTGTTTGTTTTTGTTTTTTTTTTTATTCTTGCTTCCGGTGTAGAACTTAAATTTGTATGCCACTTATTGTAAATATATTAATGCTAGACTTCTTTTTCTGTTTTTTATACTCTTTAACTTTAAGCTACTTAAATAGTTTTAATGGAGCATTGTTTTTGCATTTATTGCTTACTTTTGTTGTAGTTATTTTATTTTAGTTTGCTTATTTTTTTCACTTATTTTTTTATAAATAATTGCTAAGAATCATTTTTGGTATTTTTTAGTTTATAATCAGTACTGTTTTCTTCGTTTGTTTGAAAGTTTTTGGTTTTATACATCTTTTCTTATTTTGTTGCTGTGTATTTCTCCATTTTTAGGACGGGTTCTAAATGAAAATTATTTTGCAGAGTTGCATTTTTATTCGCATCATTTACATTGCTGTGTTATGGCTAGAATTTTATGTTCGGTAAAGTGTTTTTTTTTTTGCTTTTTTCTTGTGTGTGGCAGTTAATTACGCAAACTTCTTTTACGGTTTTCAAGTTCAGCTTTGAAAAAAAAACATGCGCCAGAAGCTGTTTGATAGAAGTGCATTGAGTTAGAAAATGTCGGGTCTACGAAACTTGGGGG